CACATTATTACATAATCGCTCATTACCGAAATCAGAAACTTATCGAATCGGCAAACAATCATTCGGTCAATTTTTTATTAGATGTCCCAAGATTTATGAGAACAGCTGTAATAACCGGGTGGGTTTTAAAAAAAATTTTTTTATAAAATTTTATATATGAAATTTAAAAAAAAAAAGCCGGCCGGGTCTATTTTTAAATTTGATGTTATGAAAACCAAATAATTAAATTTGTATGGCCTAATTTACAATATCTAACGCTTTTTAATTTACAACTAAGATTGTGAAAAATCCATATTACAAACTATACATAAATGAAGGATGCCTTTCTCCAAACTTCATAGTCTCTTCATCATCTATATCTATATTATATTTTTTCAAAAGCTTATTATTATTAGCTCTATTCAACAAATGAAATTTAATTAAAGTTATAATTAGAGCAACAATTAAAAGTGCTAATGAAATACTATGACCGAATTTATAAGATGGAGCATCTTTATATTTATAAAATTGGGTGCTTATTCCTGCACCTATGTTACCAGCGGCTATCATCATAGCGTCTCCTATGGCGCATTTAGTTTCACCAGCCAAATTGTTAATTAACCTTTTTTTTTTTTTACAATATAATTTTATAAAGCGTATTTATAAATTATTTATAATGATAATTTAAACACTAAAAAAACTAAATAAAAAGAGATTTACCATGTAATTGATGTAGGTATACATGGAAATAAACCTATTCCAATAATACAAGCACCGATATATTTGACTAAAGTATAAAAAATTAGTAACTTACATGTTTATTAGGCATGTTATAAATAAAACTTACCAGTTGTACTAGTATTCTGCGTAAGGAGAAATGCGTAACCCAATATTGATACTAACAAACAACACAATAAATATGGACCGCGAACTCCAGCTCGATCAGATTGTATAGCTATAATTACCGAAGAACCAGATCCCAAAATAAATGGAGGAACAGCAAGAATTTGAGAAACAACTAGTGAAAAAAAAAAGGTAAGAAAAAAATAAATCTAATGATTATAAATATCACTAATAAAGGTGCTGCAAATAGACATTACCACTACTAAATCCTAGACCGTTTACAATTGATGAAATGAAAAAAGAAAAAGAATACAAAGGAGCAAGTATACAAAAATATAACAACATCGCCATATAAATTTTCTAAGAGTATATAATAAAGACAAAATTAATAAAATTAATAGAAAGTCCCGAAGTTGTAATACAATAAATTTTTATAAAATTACCCAATCTTTAAAAGCTTCTAAAATCTGATGACTTTCAGTATAAAAAGATTCATGATGATATGATGATCTATGATTTAAACGTTCAACAGCTAATTTTCGTTCTTCTTTTGTAAGCCAAGAGGCAGTTTCTGCACTGTCCGGGATTAAATAATAAGAGAACAACGCAACAGCGCATGTCAACACACCGTCAATGATAAATGCCTAAGGTAGGAAAAAAAAACTTTTTTAAAAAAAAACCTCAAGATTGTTATGAATCAAACGAGAATTATATATATACCCATTGCCAACCACTTAAACCATTTACTTCATGTAATATATTTGCGACAACAAATGACATAAGGCCACTAAACCCGCCGGCAATTGTAGCAAGAGAGACAAATAAGCTAATTCGAAAATTTTCTTCATAATTCTTATACCATTTTGTAATGTAAAATACGGCGCCTGGAAAAAATCCAGCTTCAAATACACCCAATAAAAATCTTAATATCATAATTTGAGGAAAATCTTTTGCCTAATAGAAAATCAAATTTATCAAAACTTAATTACGGAAGATTTATAGAATAATAATTTTTCTAATGAAATAATTATTACCGTATAAGAGCGAAATAACGCGCAGGGGTGTAATTTCGAATTTTGGCCTAAATTAAGCCTGATTTGGGCCATTATTCAAAATAACGCCCCTACGCATTATTTCGCGCGTATACGGTAATAAGTACGAAATTATTAAATACTTACTGCTGCTGTAGACATCACTATGATACCACTTGCAAGCATAATAGATGAAACTGAAAAAGAATATAGCAACAAGAATAATGAATATAATGAGAATAAATTAACATTAAAATAAATTAAATAAAAAAAGATTAAACTAACTCCAAACTGAGGGTCTGGTATTTATTAAAATGATATTCGATGGTACTTCGAATAATACATAAGCTCTATAAATGTAAAAGTTAAAGTTAAAAATCTTTATAAGAAAATATAGAAATAATTAAAGGTATTTAGGCTGCTTGTAGTTAAGTCTTTAATTTATATCACTTTCTAGAAACTCTGGGGATTTAAATGAGCAATATATTTTAATTGAGATGACTTTGTTGAGTTGTTCAAAGTTAATTAACTAGTTAAAATCACTATTTTTGGCTTGAGTAAACGAGTGAATTTTTAGACGAATACATTTGCTGCGGAATCATATAATCCAATTTCATTTATTTGATAGAAATCATATGATCAGTGAGAATTATCAGGCTCTTGATTGGTTGTTTAATTTTGGGGATGATATTAACAGAAGATTAACTTTAAACAGCCTTAGTGGAAAAATGACGTACACGAAGAATGAGCTTAAAACTATATTATATTGATTATCAGTCAAATGAAGATCTTCTTCCAAATGTTCCAATTTTGCATTTCCGATATTAACTCTAAAAAAAAATAATAATAATAATTTAATAGTTTAGAATTGATCATAAAGCATAATCATAAAGCATTAAAATATTTTTATTGCATTAAAAATCAAAATCCATACTTATCCATAAAACTAAAAGTATAAAGAAGTGTAAATAATGGAATGACTCTCGTATCGATTTTCCATAATAATTCTTTTTCTTCAATACTTATAGTTTTAGTTGGTTTATTTTTTTCATCCATCTTGTTGGAATTATCGGTGTTTACGACTTCAAAGATTTCAAATGTTGCATCAACTTCAATATCATCACTCTCGATTATATTACTTGAGTGTCTTGATTGTCTTGACATGATTAGAAATTTAGTGTTACAATGCTAGGATCAGACAATTTAGCGAAATTCATGAATTTATAAGAATTCTTGAAAATATGCACTTCCATTGTCATTTAAGGAACTAAGCTGCGCCACTATCTAATTATGCACATATCTTACTTGATACACAAATTTGCATGATCTATTTTTAGTATTTTTTCTTAATAACTAGATATATACTTGTTAATAAACACTGATTTATTGATTAAAGTTTGTTTTTATCGTTTTATGGTATCAATTCATGTTTTTTTACATGAGATTTTGTTACAAAGTAAATTATTTAGGGCTTTTGCTGCTAACTCTAAAAAATTTTTATTTTTTCAATCTACAAATATGGCAAATATGTGAATTGAAATTAACTACGTAAATTCTACAAATCTAGTACAATGCCGTAAATTGCTAAAGTGGAAAAAATCTAAAAATAAAAGACGCCTTTGCTTCCTTAATGAAACTAACATGCGAAACTAGCATATAAACTATACTCTAGGATCCTTTCACTCTTGACAGTTTTTTGTCAGTATATTGAACATTAGACATTTCTATTCGAAGTAATTCATTATTTGTTATTTAACTACATGAACGTATATACGTAAATAAAATCGATACTAAGTTAGCGTCATATCACGTATTCCGCAATATCTATGATACGTATTAAAATAACGAATCTGATTGATCGATGTTTGTGTACCATATTTTAGCGGCATAACAGCACATTTTTGTTGCACAAAATTACGATTATGGCCAAATACTTGGCAAAATCTGTGCTACAGTAGAGTTTACTAATTTCTCCCACACTTCTGATTGGTTCTACTAATTATTCACATATCGGAATATCAACGTTATTAATCAATTTTATGGTACTCCAATAGTGAAGTGTGGGGAGAAATTAGTAAACCCGCTACAGTAATTATATGCATAACCACCTTTTTATCACGACTGAAGTACGACGTGCTCTGGGACTAGTATTCAAGTTTTATCGAATATCGATATTACAAAGAAGGAAATTATTTAATATTGAAATAACTATATTTTAATATTATAATATAATTACAGTATTCAAAAATTATGATTTCGCAAATTCAATTAAAATGCAAAGTGAACGCCAAATACTTACGCATAAATTACGGGTTGAAATTTTTGTAAAGTAAATCAAAAAAAAAAATGAATACAAAGATAATAATAACAACAGTATGATTAGTAATGCATTGATTAAGTTAAACACTTGTTTACTATTTTTATATTTCCATTTTTTATGCTATTGTCTTTGTGCCGATTAATGCATACAATCTTTTATTACAATATCGAATATTGACACGCCATACCATGAGGATTCCTATTTTACTTATCATATTCCTTATTTGAAAGATCTACATCGGTTAAGTCAAAATTGTTCCGGATTTTTTGATGTACATCGATTAGCAATCAAATAAAAGATATGTCGGTTAAAATTGGTCCGTTAGTCTTTTTTTTTAAGAATTTTCTTCCAATGATATTTGAATTTAGAAAACATTTCTTTAGCTAAAAATCGTTACTGTAGCTTGAAGGCATATTGACATGTACATTAGTTGAAATGTATAGTTTAAAATAGTAATCTTTACAATAAACACTTTTTTTTTATCTTACAATCTTTACAATTTCTATTTTCATTATACAGTTAACTCTCTCTAAACCGAGTATAGATAAACTGAATCACTTAATAAATTTTATACAAGCCAAACTTTAAAATTTTACATAATTCGGATTAATTATTAAGCACATTCGTAATGCCAGCATAGCTGGCTTTATTGTGATTGGTTGATTTTAAAGATCATCTCATTATATTAAAGTTTTATTAAAGTAACGATTTGCTGTCACAAGAATGGATTCGGTGCCACGAAAACAAATTCGGCAAGGGTGATGCAAAAAAATTTCAAAAGTTTACGCTTCACTTTATGTACTGTCAAAATAATTCGGTAAACGGCGAGGTAATTCGGAAGTTAGATGAGAGGTATGTTTAAGCATTTAAATTTAGCCAATAAAGGCATAAATATAACTATTAAACTTAGTAAATTGCAGTTTTACAGCGTTAATCCAACATTACTAACCTATTTTATTTATAATTTATTTGTTATTTTATAGGTAAGTTCGTATTATAAGTATAATAGATTAATAACATGAAACAAAAAAATGTGAACATGTGAATTTTACAAAATATTAAATATAGTGTAGTGTCTAAGATTATTTAAAATTAAAATTCGTTTAACGTTAATTAGCCGGTAATATATAGTTAAAATTGTTTTATATATTTATTTCTAAACGTGCTTTTTATTGTTTGTTTTTTTATTTTTTGTGTTTTTTTATTTTTTTTTATTTTTATATTTATCTTTTTTTGTTTATTTTTTTATTTTTCTTTTTAATTAGTACAATTGTATGTAGGACTTTGATTGTACTTGGAATGATTGCTTTAGGCATTGAGTTAGGATTTCTTAGTAACCCATTTATTAATACCATTTTATTTTTATATAATTATTTATTATATTCATAATAAAATATTTTGTCGATTTGATTAACCAATAATATTTATGCAATGTTATGAGATAATTTACAAAAATTAATCAATTACTATAAAAGCCTGCTATGCTCATAATGCCTTTATGATACTATGCCTTATTAACTTAGCAAGATATTTTACAATATAATATTATATAAAATATTATAAAATAATAATATAAACATAAAAAACAAAAATAAACTAATTAGAAAACAGTATACCATTTAAATAATTTAATAAGTTATTTAATAAAATAAAGAAATTGCTATTTATACCATAGTTATACTTTTTAAATATAATATAAAAAAACTTATAACTCTAACTTTAACTTTAAATTTTAATATTACTCTAACTCTAACTCTAAAACTAATAACTTTTTTTAGCTTTAAGTAAAGTTGTAGAGGAGCTTTTTCTAGTTCTAATAGTGGTTAGATCATTAAAATTGGCCTATAAATTTCAAGACATTTGGGATTAAAGGTATAAATATAAAGATTTACAAATTCACTATTATACAAAGTAATAAAAACTATAATATATTACATAATAGTGAATTTGCAAAACTTTATATTTATTCCTTTAACCTAGATATCTTGGAATTCACTAATAAGATTAGAAAAAGCTTCTCGACAACTTATTTAGAGCTATAAGAAAGGTTTACTTATTAGTTTTAGAGTTAGAGTTAGAGTTAGAAAATTATACAATAGTATTAAAACTTAAAGTTAGGGTTATAAGTTTTTTTTTATATTATTATCTAAAAATAGAAAATCTTGTATAACTATAGTAGAAATAGCAATTTTCTAAAATAATTCTGATGAAAAATAAGATTTAAAGTAAAGAATTATAACAAATTTGATCAATATTATATAAAACTAAAAAGAAATATTTATTACATAGTACAATTAGTATATTTCAACTCATATAATATAAATCCAACTCAAACCTTTATTGTTATTATTATTAACAATAATTAACTTTGGCTACATAAATTTTTTTTTATAAATATAGATGGCCTAGCTAACTATATCTTGATTAATTTTGATTTAGAAAGTTAATAGTTGGGTCTAGCAAAACTACAATATATTTGTTTTTTTAAAAAAAATTATATTTTTAAAAAGCTTGTTAATGAAGTAACAAAGTAATTATTATTGCAAGATTAGATGACTTTGTGTTTATATAATTGTTAGAATATGAATTACTATATCTAAAATAAAATAAGTAAAGAAAATAAGAGCAATTATTTAGTTATGAGCATATAATCAATAACATATTTAAGAACCTTTAGTTAATATAGGAGGCTATCTTTTTTTTTACTATTACTTATCTTATAGTTAAGGCTAGCTTAGTTATTCTACTCTTTATTCTATCTTTTTGTAATTCAGAGCAATAAATTAATACTTATTTAAAATATTATTGGTAGTTCTGTGATTGCAGCTAGTAGTGCATGAATTTTATATTTGCAATTAGGATTTAGCTAATATATATAATGCAAGAGCTTTAGCTATATCATAGCTACTATAATTAGTATAAATGCCTTATGTTTAGAAACTTAACTCTGTAACTATTATAGGCAGTGCAAGAACTTATATTTTATTTCTTTTATATTATTAGTTATATATATATTTGATTATTTTTATAGTTGTATATTTTCTTTT